CCCTTCCCTTTCCTTCCCTTTCCTTCCCTTTCCTTCCCTTTTCTTCCCTTCCAAACATGTTCTATACCATTGAGCTACATCCTTAGCCCTCTGTACAAGTCTTTCTGTGGATATACATTTCCTTCTCTCTTGGGTAAACACCTAGTCATGGAAAGTATATAGAGTATTTAATTCTACCACCATGAGAATTTCCATTTCCTTATATCCTCATGTATATTGTTATGCTCAGTCTTTTAAATTTAAAACATTCTAATTTGTGTATCATTGTGTGTGTGTATGGCAATTCTAGCTTCTTTGTATTTCCTGTGACTTTTAGAATGAGTTTACCAATTTATACAAAAAAGCTTCCTGATGTTTTGGTTGGAGTTACGCTGAATTTGGGATCAAACTGTGGAGAATTGATATGTTAATAATATTGAGTATTCTGACCCCTAACAGGTATACCTGTTATATTCTATTTCTTTGTGTCTTTTAGAGTTTCCTTCAGGAATGTTTCATAGCTTTTAGTGATCTTTTATGTCTTTTGTCAGATTTCCTCTCATTTTACATTTTAAATGATATTTAAAATTAAAAAATTCTGATATGTAAAAATGTAAGTGCACTATTATACCTGACTGTGTACAAAATGTAGTTCTATGCTTACCGTTCTTACAGTATCATTGTCATATATCTTTTGCTCATGGTTTAAAACTCACAATATATTATTAGCATTTTTGTACAAACACTTTTTTTTCTTTGTCTTTTTGAGACAGGGTCTTCCTATGCAGTTCAGACTGGCCTTGAGCTCACTTTGTAGCCCAGGGTGGTCTTGAACTCGCAATGATCCTCCTGTCTCAGCCTCCTGAGCACTGGGATTACAGGCATGTGCCACCATGTCCGGCAACACTCTTATTTTTTAAAGAATTAAAAAAATAAGAAAAAAAATCTTATATATTTACTAACATGGTTACCATGTTTGGTGCTTTTTATTCCTTTATGTAGTTTGTGATTTCCACTTAGTATTATTTTCCTCTCTCCAAGGGACTTCTTTTAACATGTCTTAAAACATGGGTCTGCTGGTGATTATTTCTGCAGTGTTTGTACATCTTTACTTCACCTTCATTTCTGAAAAATATTCTCACCATGTGATAGATTTCTACATTGACTTTTTTTTTTTCTTTTGGTAGTTTAATGATGTTGTTCCATTGTCTCCTTGACTATATTATTTCTGACAAGAAATTTGTACCACCATAATTTTTATTCCATTCTATATTCCATTCCTTTTTTCTATAGCTGGCTTTAAGATGTTTTCTTGTTAGCTAATTTTGATAAATTTGGTTATAATATGTTATTGAAATAACTTTGGAAAATATTTGGTCACTATTTTTTCAAAATTTTTTTCTACCTCTTCCCCTTGTTCTTCGGTGACTAAAAACTTGCTCAGTGCTTGACCTTGACTCATAAATTACTAATCGACATATCTTTTTGTTCAAAAACCTCAAACATTACAGTTTTCATCTTTAGAAGTTTGATTTGGGTGTTTTTTTATATCTTCTAGCTCTCTAGTGCATATTTTGGATTTATGGTGCATAGTTATCATTACTGTTGTAATGTCCTTTGCTAATTCTAACATCTGGGTTAACATTCTCAGTTTTGATTTGTTGCTTATTCCTCTCATTATGGTTTTTATTTTTACTCCTGCTTTGCATGTCTAATAATCTTTGATTGGGTGCCAGATGTTGTGAATTTTGCTTGAAGTGTTAGATATTTTTGTATTCTTATTAATCTTCTTAATCTTTGCTCTGGAAGGCAATCAAGTTATTTGGAAATAGTTCTGTTTTGGGGGTCTTGCTTTTATGATTTGTTAAGAAGGCTTAGAGCAGTGCTTAATCTAGGACTAATTACTCCATCTGACTAAAGCAAGACCGTTGTGAGTGTTCCACCCAATGCTCCATGAGTTTTGAGGGTTTTCTGGCTAGTGGCAATAGGACTCCCAAATCTGTGAGTGCCCTATAGTCTTTTTTTTCGGTCATTTTGAGACAGGGTCTCGCTATGCAGTTCAGGCTGGCCTTGAGCTCACTTTGAAGCCCAGGCTGGCCTCAAACTTGCAACAATCCTCCTGCCTCAGCCTCCCAAGTGCTGAGATTACAGGCGCACTATAGTCTTTTCAGCTAGTTCTTTCCACAGCCTCAGTCATTTTCCTTGTGTATAGGAGCTGATCAGAGCTCTGCTGTTTGCTGGAGGGGGATGTGCTGCAGATTTCTAGGGCTTTCTCAGCACAGCTCTCTCCTCTGTGGTATCTAAACTAGGAATTCTAGCTATCTTCATCTTCTTGGAGTGTCAGTTGTGTCTCTTGGGATCTGCCTTAGTCACCTTCCCCTGGGCTGTGGCCTGGAATCTCTCTCTGTATTGCTGGGGCAATCATAGGATTCACTCATCTTGTTTATTTCCAATCTCTCAGAGATCATCGTCCTTTGTTGCCTGTTGTCTAGTGTCTTGAAAGCCATTGTTTCATATATTTTTTAAAGATTTCTTTCTTATTTTTCAGTAGAAGGAAAACCAAACATAAACCACATGTTGATTTTTGCTCCTATGAACTCTGCAGGATGGCTGTTCCTTTTGGTAGCATTTTTTCATTCTCATTTACTAAGCTCTACAAAGGATTAGTGAATAATATGGTGAAGAAGGAATTTTAGGTTTCATTTTAGACTTGAAAATAAACGAAAGGCTCACAATCAGTACACTGCAGAGTGCAGATGTGAAAACAGATCTGTTTGAGCCAAAGTCTTTGTACCAGAGTACAGTTACAGTGAGTACCACTATAAACAAGGGAAAACTATTTGCTAGAAGTTTTAACATATCTAGTTAACAGGAATTTTATGATCAAATCTCAAGCCTATTATTAGCTTTGTGGTCTTGGATGAGTTACTTTGCCTTATTTTAAAAATCTAACATATGGGGGTAGTAAAACCTGAATCACAAGTTTCTCATGAGTTAAGAAGATGGTGGCTGTGAGGGGATTTTTACAGCTTTGAAGAATGTAATAGAGGGGACCTGACTCCCAGGCCTTTTGATTCCATACTAGACATGGACACGAATGCAGCATAAGTGTAGGAATTGTGGGGGCCGTGGGGTAGGAGGTCACAGGTCAGTCGCCATGGAAAGAGACTAGGGGTGGCTGCAGTTCTAGCTATTGCCATATGTGGAAACTTGAGCTCTGAGTACAGATCTTCTAATTTTCTAAAGGAAGCCCAAAATTTGTTTTATGAATTCTCTTGACTTGTAACTGTGGGCATTTAATTAAAACAGAAACCGTGTGAATGAAACAATGTGGTTCTTGACTGCAGGTGAAAGGAGTGTGGGCCTGGAGTTCCCACAGTACCAGGCTGTGGGCCAGGCTGGCAGGAGACAAAGGCAGCCAGCCGGGACTCCCCTGGGAGCTGCAGTTCAGTGTTGAGAGAAGCCTTCTGCGCGGTAAGCAGTGCTATAACAGGATTTGGCATAATGGGATTTGACCCACATTATCCTTGAACTCCTTAGGCCTGGACTTGCAGAAAGCCTTTTGTAGCTGAAATTGAAACAGTAAAGCAATTTGTGGCACACAGAGGGGATGTCCTGGGAAATGTTTTTTAGGGCTTTAATGTTTCCCGAGGGCTTTTACTATCTCATTTGATTCATCCCTTTAAATGAGCAGTAATCCCATTTTCCTGGTAGGGCCTCTAAGGCTCCTACAGCATGGGAGTTGGAGAGTCCTGCAAACTGGACCAAAGAAGGGGCTAGCCTGGGACTCGTGTGCCTGGAATCTCTTTCCCACCTTGCCACACAGTGGCTCAGGTAGGGAAGGGGAAAGGGGCGTTGAGGATCTCTGTTTAGCTGATGTGCACACTAACCTCGTCTGATCTTCCACTCATCCCTGTGAAGCCAGGCTCATCATCCTCACTTGAGAGCAGGAACTGAGGCCCAGAGAGATGGAAAGACCCACCCAGAGATATGCATCCAGGAAGCTCAGGAAAAGTTCCGAGGAGTGTTTTGAGCTCCTTGAAGTTACCTGCAGAACATTTGTTTTTGCTTTAGTCCATTTCTCATGGCAAAGAGCCTAAAACTCTCAACAGATTCTCAAAGGGATCAATGTTTTCAGAATGGCAAAGCACCACTGTCTTGCTTCTCTCATTGCTGATACAAAATATGGAACACTCAAAGTTAAAGGAGGAAAGGTTTATTTTATGTCATGGTTTGTAGAGGTTTCAGTCCATAGTCAACTGGCTCCAAGGCAGGGTGGCATAGCAGAGGGGCATTGCAAAGGAGAGAACAGTCCATGGCAAGGCAGACAGGTGGTATCCTGCAGTGAAGCAGCAGCAGCAGAGGCAGCAGCAGAGGCAGTAGCAGCAGCTGCTGCAAAAACCTCCCTTTCCCTTTTGTCTCATGCAGGCTACAAGCCTTTTCGGTGGTGCCACCCATACCCACAGGGTAGGCTTTCCCATTGTTCACCTCCAGAACATGCTAAAACAACCGGTGGACTAATGTAGTTATCATACACTTAATCCATATTCGAACACCCTTCACACACATGCCCTAGATCCAGCAACCTCCAAGAACTCACCTCTGAGGCTTTGGGAGGACATTTAGATACAAGCCATAACAACCACTAATTTAAAGCTGAGGGCTTTCTAACTCCAAAGATTCCCTCTACTGGATCGTGATTAAGAAAATGTTCTTTATAAACTCATGGGAAATCTGGGTCCACCACTAACTAGCATCCGGCTCTGCAACTAACTAGCTGTGAGATCTCATTTTCTCACCTGTTCATTTATTCAACAACTATTTTACATTGTGCCTGCCTCTGATTCAGCCGTTGTCTTTGTGCTGAGGACTCAACAACAAATTAAACTGGCACCCTGCTGTCATTAGTCTTATATCCTGTGAGAGGATATGATAATAAACAGGTAGATACAGAGCATTTCAAGATTTTTAAATAAGAATATTTTAAATTTTGATAAATGCTGTGGAGAAAATTGAAGTGCAGTAAGAGGGACCTGTGTCACAGGGTAAGGCTGGGCTATTATTTTATGTCAGGTGGTCTGAGGAGCTTCACAGATGGCCATTTAACCAGAAAGCTGAAGGAAGCAGGGAGTCACATGGTTTTCAGGAGCAAGAGCCCACCAAAGGCAAAGGGAGAAATGACTGGAGGTGCAGGGGAAGGTGGAGAACCTCCTGTGGCCCACGGGAGAAAGTTGGGAATCCTTAAATTGGCACTTAATTTGCCTGTCTGGCTCCTAATTATTTTCTGATTCTCAGAAAATAATTTTACTTGCTCTTCCCTTATCGGTCTTCTTGAGTCTTTCTAAAAATATAGCTTTAGCAATGAGACCAGCTCATTTTGTGTATACTCACAGGTAACCACTGTGTACTGTCTGGGGAGGGAGGACAAGAAGGACGTCATTGATCCACTACAGTCTGATGAATGCCACGAGATGAGACTACCCAATGGCTATTGGAGCACAGAGACGGACGTAGCTGGCCCTGCCAAAGAGAGAGGGGAGGTTTGATTAGGCTTCAACAAAGAGGACATTCACATTGGGTCCTGAAGAATGAGTAGGAGTTTTCCAGAGATGAGAGGATATTCTGGGAAGCACTAATTGCAAAGAGCATTCTTGCAGGAAATTACCACATTTTAACTGTTAGATATACATTGCTATTTCATACACCACAGTGTGGGATAAACAGAGGTAACTTGTAAGTACCTCCACGTCTGGGAAGGTAAACAAATCTAGCTGGCTCAGCAGGAACTGAGGTTAACAATAAATGTTCCACTCTAAGGGGAGTACCTGATTCTGACTTTGAAGGAGTATATGCTTCATGTTAATCGATCTTCTTATTTTAAAATATGAAATATAATTTACATTTAGTAAAAATTACTCTTTTTAGTGTATAGTTTGACAAGATTCAACAAAAATATATAGTTTTATAGTTACTATGACAATGAAAATATCAAATAGTTCTGTTACCCTCTAAATTTCTCCACGCCCTCCAGAATCACCATTTCCCTCCTTCCCAGCCACTGGGAACTACTGATTTGTTTTCTGTCTGTATAGTTTTCTGTCTGTATAGTTTGGTTTTTGCAAGAAGGTCAAGTAAATGCAATGTAGTCTTTTGACTAAATCTGGCTGTTTTTACTTTGCATAATGCATGGAAGTTATATCCACCTGTATCAGTCATTCATTTCTTTTTACTTCTGAGCCTTATTCTGTTAAGTGGATGTGTAACAGTCTGTTTATCCATTCCCCAGGTGAAGGACATTAGGGCTGCTTTCTAGTTTTTAGTGATTACAAATACAACCACTATAAAAAATTGTGTGCATGTTTTTGTTTGAATATGGGTTTTCATTTTACTTTGGGAAATACAGGTAGAGGAATATCTGGGTCCTGTAAGTGTATGCTTGACTTTATAAGGAACTGCCAAATTGTTTTCCAAAGAGTTTGTCTGTACTGTGCTACATTTCCACCAGCAATGTGTGTGAGTTCTAATTACTGTGGGTCTTTGTCAGCCTTTTGTTTTGTCAGTAGATTTTGAAGAGACCATTCTAATAGCTGTGTCATGTGCTTGGATTGTGGTTTTAATTTGCATTTCCTAAAGCCTAATTATGTTGAGCATCTTTTCATGTGCTTATTAACCATCTGTATATCTTCTCTGGTGAAGCAGCTAGTTGAATTTTTTGCTTATTACATTTTTTTCTTTTTCTTATTGCATTTAAAGTGTTCTTTTTGGTAACAATTTTATTGAGATGTAATTTGCATACCATAAAGTTATTCACTTACATTATACAATTCAGTGGTTCTTAGTATATCCACAGAATCATGCAATCATGGCCACAGCCCATCTTAAAACATTTTCATCATCTCAAAAAGAAACCTCATTCTTTTTTGCTATCACCTCCTAATTCCCCCGATCTTTTTTTTCTAGTCCCAGCCCCAAGAAACTATATACTTACTTTCTCACTGTATATGGATTGGCATAGACTATACATTTCATATAAGTGAAATCATATTATCTGTGATCTTTTTTGACTTTGAGGTTGTTATATATGAATATTCTGAATATGTTTTTGCCTTGAAAAGACCAACTTTTTATTTTTTTGTTTTGCTTTATTTAAAAAAATACCTTTTATTAGTATGTGTGTATAGTACATAAAGTTTACATTCCTTGTGGGGAATTGGTACTTGCACCTAACATATCTTCATTCCTTTTTTCATCCCCTTTCCCTTCTCTTCCTCCTTTTCCTCCCCTCCTTTCATGAATATGATGTTTATAAAAAAGTCAGCTATTGTTTATGATTTGCAAATATTTTCTCCCAAGACTGTGGCTTCTGTTTTCATTCTCTAGACAATGTCTTTTGATAAGCAGAAACTCTTAATTTTGATGAAGTCCGATTTATCAACTTTTTCTTTTAGTGTTATAATTTGCATAACGTATGATCACAAAGATTTTCTCCTATGTTGTCTTCATGAAATTTTTTTCTAAAGAGAGACTAGAAATCTATTTTCTTTGTGAAATGTTATGATTTATGATATTAAACTAAAACATGTCTAGGACTGGAAAATGGCTACAGTTTCTCAGTTTTCATATATTAGTTTGTGCTATGTATAGTATAATATTTGGCTATAACTGGCCATGTTGACCTATAAAACAACAGTTTCATATACACTTTGATCTATAAAACACCTGTTTCATATGTTTCAAGCTAATGCCCTTTATAGGTTATTAAATTATAGGCCATCAATTGATTCACAGATGTCTGCATGCGTAGTGGCAAGCCTTGGTCTGTTTTTTTCTTTCTATTTGAGTCCCATGAGTGCTAAATAACCCTATTATAGATGAGAAAACCAAGGCCTAATGAGGTGAAACATCTAGCTTGAGAACACTCAGCATGGCTCTACTTCAGTGCATGGATTATGAAGCTCAAAGGTCACCTCAGTCTGTACTTTCTAAAACCCAGAGCTCCACAAAACTTTTACATGAAATTCACGATTTAAAACATGGGTTTTAACTATTCCAACATTGTACTAAGTTATTGTAGTTTGGATCATGAACACTGCCCAAAGGCCTATGTGTAAAGGCTTTGTTCCCTTGGCTGGCGCTATTTTGGAAGGAGGTGGATTGTCAGGAGGAGGCTTAGTGGGAGGTCTCAAGTCACAGGAGCGTGCCATTGCAGGGGCTTATGGGAGCCCAATTGCTCTTCCTCCTGTTTCTCTTTGCTTCCTGGATTGTGATGTGAGCAGTTTTGCTCCACCATGTGCTGCCATTATGATATGCTGCCTTGCCACAAGCCCAAAATAAAGGGGCCAATTGATTATGGATTGGAATTCCTCAAAATTGTGAGATAAGATAAACCTTTTCTCTTTATAAGTTAATTATCTCAAGTATTTCATTACAGTGATGGAGAGCTAACTAACACAGAAAATATTACAAGAGTTGCTGGATATGTTGTATACTAACATTTAACATTTTGGATATGGCCAACAGAACTTCTTCTGCTGTTTACTTGGTTGTCAGCAAGTTCAACACGAAAGTTTCTCTTGTTATAGCCATGTAATTAAAGAGAATCTTGAAACTGCAAACAAAACAAACTTTAAAAGGCTGTTAGCATTTCCAATTCTTGCTCCTCGGCAACCTGTGATTTTCTTAATGTTTGCAAACTAAAGCATTTAAAAGTTTTGGAGCTTTAAATTTTTGGCACTGGAGCTGAAATATGATTCTACCTTCACCCATAATGTCTAATTTCTTAATTTACCATTCATACTGATTTCTTAATGTTTTTAATCCATCACGGCATTGTCAGCGATTGACCTGTGTTATGAATGGATCTTGACTATCCCACAGTATTCCACATATTGAATATTTTTGGTCCTTAGCCCGTGGTACTGTTCTGTCCTTAGCCCATGGCACCGTTGGGAGGCAGTGGACCCTTTAGGAGGTAGATGAGGCCTACTGGGAGGAAGTTAGCTCACTGAGGGAATGCCCCTGAAGGGGATACTGGGACTTTGGCCCCTCCTCCTCTTTTCTCTTTGCCAGCTGGCCACCATGAAGTGAGCAGGCCTCCTCTGCCACGTGCTCCTGGCATGATGTATTGTTTTGCCACAGACCCACAGCAATAGAGCTAGGTGGTCATGGACTAAAGCTTCCGAACCATCAATCAAAATAAACCTTTTGTTCTTATAAGTTGATTATCTCAGGTATTCTTGTCACAGTAACAGAAAGCTAACATGATCTATAAGAAGTCAGTATTATGGATTTTATAGCAAAGGCACCAAAACTAGTGTCTCTCTCTTTCTTTCTTTCTTTCTTTCTTTCTTTCTTTCTTTCTTTCTTTCTATCTTCCTTTCTTTCTTCTGTCTGTCTGTCTGTCTTTCACTCTTTCTACATTTTAAGGAAGAAAGGTTTAATTTGGCTCACAGACATTTTCCTTTCCCAGCAGAGGAAGAGTTCATTTCTCACTGTTCATTGCATTTGAATTGCAGGATGTGCCTGGATGCTGGAGGCCCCGGGAATGTGGACTAAAGTGGTGACACTCTTTCCTTCCCTTTCAGAGACAAGAGCTTTATTCTTATAGAATCAGAAATGGTAGGAGGGAGGGTCTCTAGATCAGTAGTTGGGGAGAAGGAAGAGATCTGCCAAGAAGTGTTCCCTGAGCCACACTGAACAGTAACTTGAGCAAGGAATCAACCTCCGTGTGTCAAGCTGCTGAGATGTTCAGGTTTAGTTGTTATTACAGTAGAACTTAGTCTGCTCTTACTAACACTGGATTAAACAAGATAAAATTTCATAAAATATAGCTTTTATCTGTACCATATTAGGTCCCATATATAATTTTTTGAAAAGTAAGAAGTTGTGCTGCTATAAAAGGTGTTAGAATTGGTGACTGAGTTTTAAATCCAAATCTTGATGGTGTAGTTCACTGAAATAATGCAAACAAATGACATACACCTAAATGATACCCAAGTTTATTAATAGGGCAAATAAAACACACCATCTTCCATTTGTTAAGGAATTAACAGTTAGCTGGTGGTGGGGAAACAGCACTTTTGCAGGAGGCTGGCCAGGGAAGTGTGGTACCTGAGGTGTGGTGCCTCAGACTTATTGGAGGATAATTTGGCAATGTCTATTAAATGTAAAAATTCACAAACTATTTGCCCTCCTCCTTGGAATTTATTCTACAAATAAACTCCAACAAACATGCAAAGATACAAGTAAAAGGCTACTTGGTAGAGAACTATTTGTAATAGCAATGCCCTTCCAAAAAACCCAATAGCAGCAACAACAGCAACAATAACAATAGCAACAACAAACAAAACACTTGGAGACAAATGCCCATTAAAAGGGAACTGTCTCTCTGAATCACAGTACACCCAAAGCATGGAATAAATTTCAGCTACTAAGAAGAATGAGGTAGCTGGGAAGTGCGGGGGTGGGAAGGTGTCCAGGGTGTACTACGTTGTTTGGGGAGAACAGAATGTGTGATTTGATGCTATTTATGTTGAAATAAAATTGAAATGTTACCAAAGTAAAGATGAAGTCAAGTTGGGAAGTAGGACTAGGGAGTCAGGGGAGTTTTAGTTTGAACTAATTAATCTTCTTTATAATTTGAGTTTTAAATTATGAACATATATTACTTTAAGATTTTGTTTATTTTTGAATGTTAATAATAATGAAGCATGAGGTGAAAAAATTCAAAAGGGATGGGGGCATGTGTGCAATTCTCCAGCTATCTCCAAAGATCTGATACAGAACTAATTTATTCCTAGCAAGTATTTATTGTTTTTAGAAGGAAGAGGAGGAGGAAAAATGAACAAGAAAGGGTGGAGGACACTGGCAGGTGCTGCTCTGTGTCCAGGCTTGGGGTGGGCTGCTCTCCTCAGGTTTTTGCTCCACCCCTGGCTCCCCAGCATCAGGCTCCCTGAGACCTCACCGAAGCACTGAGGGAGGGCCTCGGGGGTCCCCCTGGATCGGCCCCCTTCCTGCCAGCTCCCTTGGGCAAGGCCTCCCTGCCAGACGCCCAAACACTCATTAAGCAAGACGGGTCTATAGCAAATATTTATCCCTGAGCAGCTGCGGCCTGCAGGTGCAGGGCAGAGTCCTGTTTACCTAGTGCTGAGCCAGGCAGGCGCTGCCTGTTTGCTAAGTGCCCTCCCTGGCCTGGCTCAGATGCCTGCCTGGGAGGAAGCTGGGACAGAGGAGCGTATGCCACTAGAGAAGTCAGGAGGTGCTAGCCTTGCTGCCAAACCTTGCAAGGGCCTCAGGATCAAGTCCTGAATTGTGCTGTGGCCTGTATGGTTGTATGAGCTCTGTCTCTTTCCTGTTTCCTTTTGCAACCTTCCCCTGTGCTGTTTGCTAGGGGTGAGCTATTCTCTACCTCTTTCCAGGCCGACTCCTGCTCATTATTAGGTCTTGGCGTCAATGCCCTTTCTTCAGAGTGGTGAAGCTTACTAGTAAGCATTGTCATGACCCCCACATCGTCCCCACAGTAACTATGATTGTCCTTCAGTATCCAGAGGAGATTGGTTCCAGGACTCCCTGCCCATAACAAAATCGGAGGATGTGCAAATCCCTTCCACAGAATGGTGGAGTATTTGTATACAACCCACACAATCCTCTCATACACATTCTTTATTTTATTTTTTATTTTTATTTTTGCAAGGCTGGGGATCTAACCCAGGATCTTGCAAATGTTGGGCAATTATTCTATCATTAAGCTACAGTCTCTTCAGCCAGTACATATTTTACATTATCTTTGGATGACTTACAATATCTAATACCATGTAAGTGCTGTGTAAGTATCTGTTATATGATATTGTTTAGGAAATAATGACAAAAGTCTGCCTGTTCAGTACAGGCACAATTTTTTTTTTTTTTGGTCTTTTTTGAGACAGGGTCTCACTATGCTGTTCAGGCTGGGCTTGAGCTCACTTTGTAGCCCAGGCTGGTCTCGAACTTGCAACGATCCTCCTGCCTCAGCCTCCCGAGTACAGGCACAATTTTTAAAAATACTTTTGAACCTCAGCTGGTTGAATCTGTGACTGTAGAACCCAGGAGTGTTGGAGGGATGACCATTTATTTTTCCCCCCGTTACCTGGTTGGTGTTAGTCTTCTCTGCTAGATACTAGGTAGGCAGGGGTGGAGGCGGTTTCATTCATCATTGTCCCAGCACTTCCCAGACAGCCTGCCACCTAGGAGTGCTCACCAACTGTTTGTTAGGTGACAGCCTGAGCGAAGCCAGGCAGAGGATCCGCAGGGACAAAGGCACACGGGTATGAGGAAGGGCTGGAGGGGAGGGGCAGTGAGGGTGTGTGGTGTGGGCGCGTGGACTCCAGGGTGGAAAGTTACAAAAGGCCTTAAATGCTATGCATGGAGTTCAGGTTTTATTTTGTCAGAAGTGGGACATTTTTTTTTGGTACAGGAAATGTAGATAATCACAAATGAGAAAGTGATAAATCAGATGCTCCAAGTTGGACAGTATTAATTCTAGAAGGTTCTGCATCTCTGCAGTACCCACCACACGCTTTCCCATCTCTCTTCCCTTACTCTCCCCAGCCACACTGGCTTTCCTTTTTTTGTTGTTGTTGTTTCTTTTTGTAGTATTGGTGATTGAACCCAGGGCCTCTGCATGGAACTACATCCCCAGACCTTTTAAGAAATGTTTTCTTTTTGAGGCAGGGTCTCACTGAGTCACAATTTGCCAGATTGGGCTTGAATTTTTGACCCTCTTGCTTCAGCCTCCCAGAGTGCTTCGGTTACAGCTGTGTGGTCTCCTTGATGTTTCTTGAACAACATGGGTTGCTCCAGTCTCAGGGCTTGCTACAGTCTCAATGTTTCTACCCTCCTTGCCTCTTATTTGTCTAGTGTTTAAGGTGGCAGCAGTAGGATTTGGGGCATTTGGGAGGTGATTTGGTAGTGAGGGTGGAACCCCACAAACGGAACTATTGTCGTTATAAAAGAAGCTACCGATAGCTGCTTTGCCCCTCTTTTTTATGTGGGAACACAGTGAAAAAACACCATCCACGAACCAGAGAGCGGGTCCTGACCAGATACCAAATCATGAAGTTAATTCCTTCATCTTAGCCTTTTCAGTTTTCAGAACTGTGAGCAACAGATTTCTTTTCATAGGTGCTATGGTTTGAATGTGTCCCTCAAATCTCAGGTATTGGAAATGTAATCCCTGGTGCACCCATGTTGGGAGGCAGGAGATTTAAGAGGTGATCGGTTGTGAGGCTGCTGCCTGTGGAGTAGGGTAATGCCATTATACAGGAGGGAGCTCCTGATAGAGGGGTGCACTTAGCCCCATTCGTCTTGCTCCCATCCTACACTGGCTCTCCCATGTTGCCTTACCTTCCCACCTTCTTCTATGGGGTGACATGGCAGAAATCCCTGGTCACATGTGGGGCCTAACCTTGGACTCACTGGCTTCACAACTGGAAAAAAAATATTTTTCTTTTCTCTTTTCCCTTCTTTATCTTCTTTGTCTTCCTTCTCTCTTCCTCCTCCCCCTCCTCTCCTTCCTCCTTTTTCTTCTCCTCCCTCCTTCTCTTCTTCCTCCTTTTTCCCCCTTCCTCTCTTTTTCTTCCTCTCCCCATGCCTTCTCCTCTTCCTATGTCTTCCGACACAGGGGATTGAATCCAGGGCTTTTACACTAAGTCCCAACCCTTTAAAAAATTTTATGACTTTATTTTGAGACAAGATCTTGCTAAGTTACTAAATTACCCAGGCTGGGCTTTGAACTTACCATCTTCCTGCCTCAGCCTCACAGAGTGCTGGGATTACAGTCATGTGCCACCATCCCTGGCTAACTTTCTTTTCTTTATAAGTCCAATCTGTGGCATTCTGTTATAATAACACAAAATTGGCTAAGACAATAAACTACTCATTGTGCGGCATTTTGTTACAGCAGCCTGAATGGACTAAGGCGGGGACTTTGAACTGGCTGCTTTCTCTCCCAAAATACCTTTCCCTTGGACATCATGGTTAATCTCATTTTGTTTAACTCTTAGCCTCCGACATCACCTTACCAGAGAAGCCATTCCTAATGCCACAGACAAAAGTCTCACTGGCTGGTGCTTTTATCTTGTCTCACTTAACATTTGCATCTGTTTCTTTGTCTATTGTCTGTCTGCTCCCCAGGGATGCCAGCTCCAAGAAGGCAGGGATGTCATCCCTCTTGTTTCCTGCTATATCCTCTGAGCCTAGAATATGGCTCAATGACTGCTTTCGTATGAATGAATGAATGAATAAATGAACAAATGACTAATATTAAGCCAAGCTGCCCAGGCCCTGGCATCATGCTAAATCCTGCTCACATGGACCCAGCCTAGCCCTGTTTCCAGAGCCCTCACACAGCCATTCTCTCCTTTGATCTGCACATCAGCCAGGTCAGCCTGGTGTGTGTGTGTGTGTGTGCGTGCGCACGTGCACAGGATGAGGATTATGATCTGCCCTAAACAATGATTAGCTACAGCATGAAAGTATCGCGACCACACAGGCAGAAACCAGGATGAGATGCCTGCAGGCTCACGACTTCAGCAAATCAATTTTTAAAATGGGATGTGCAGGAACTGTGGCAAAGAGCAAAGAGTCTGCATTCCGAAGCAGGTCTTCCCTGCATTCAGTTCCAAGCTCAGCTGTGTGCTTATTCTGTCACCGAAGTCCGATCAAGCTCCTTCACCCACCCTTGGTGACCGTTTCTGTGAAATGGAGACAATGTCCCCTTGAATAGGGACAGTGAAGAAGGCATTTCCAGATAGGCATTTCCTGGATGATATCATCTACTGTGTATCCTTTTAAGTACCTGTGTAAGTTGAGTGTCATGGTTTGTTTAATCTGTTGAGTACTTCTGGACGTGAAAACACGAACCCCCATTTACTGATCCTGCCAGGTTCCAGGCCTAGCTTTTCTTTCATTCTCTTAGTAGTCCTCACTGCAGCTCCAGGAGGCGGGTGCTGTGAACACTCACATTTTGCTGATGAGGCTAGGTGGATTTTCCAAGGCCTCACAGCCATATTAAATGGAAGCTGGAATTGGAAACCAAGTTATCAAACCTGAGAGCTTTCAACGTTTTGGGTTAGGGTGGAATATTTGTCCCCATGTTATAGATGGGGACTGTGAGGCTTGAGGAGGCCAGTGACTTGACCTGGGCAGCACCAGGTGGAACTGGGATGAAACGGAATCCAGGCCTACCATTTTTGTCCTGTGCTTTACTCCAGCCAGCCCATCCTCTACACCTTGGGGCAGTATCTATGTCTCATGTCTCCTGGTGGTAAGGGGCCAAGGAAGGAGTGACTTTCTAGTGTCTCCTCCAGGACGAGCTGAAGGCTTGAGGAGAGGGTGAAACAAATCACTGGTGAGCAGAGGAAACCTATGTCAATTTCATAAACTGCTCTTCTTTACTCTCCCCATCTCCCCCTCCCCGTCTCCTTCCTCTGCCTTCCCCCAGAGTTCCATACTAATTAATCAGCAGACATCAGAGGCTCCAGCTGGGACCAAGTGGGCTGGACTCATTAGTGCAGAATGACATTAATACCAAAAAATTTTTGAGACAAATGCAAATGACTCAGGATAGGTGCCTGTGCAGGGCTGGCTCAGATGCTGGTGTGGGTAAAGGAACACGGAGGAGAGGCAGAGAGGGAACCACGCAGAAGTGCAGGGCTACCAGGCCAGGTCCCTAGGATGCCTGGAAGGAAGAGAAGGGCAAGGCAACTGAACCTAGGCAGGGTCTTTGTCTGCTATCCAATTTGTTCCCCTTCCTGCCCTGGAGGTCTTATGAATCTGTGCAAAATGAATCCAGGAAATAAACCCCTCTCCCTAATGGGTCATTGCAACCTTGGGCAAGTTGGAAAAGTGGTGCTGCATCATGGCGCTTGGGGTTGGATGGTTTGGAGGGGACTCCTGGCTCCTTCCCCTCCTCTCTCACACTTTGTCCTTCAGCAAATCACTCCATATCATTGGGTTTCTTTCTCTTCCCATGGGCCAGCTGGTAATAATAGCTGCCTCTCAGGGCCAGTGAGGGTCATGGGGGTGAACATGGTTTGTGGAACATCGACCAGAGGGGAGGAACTGGCATCTTCATTTTCTTCTTCTTCTTCATTATTCTTGTCTCCATAGTGCTAACCATCAATACTCTTTATCTTCTTGGAAAATAGGAACAAAACTGGCCCCTATAGAGGGTTCTGCTTTTTCTTTCTTTTATTTTGTTTTATAGATAGAAGAACCAGAACATATTAACAAACACAAGGACATAAATAAAACAGTGAAAGCAATACAGCATTTCAGACAAGGTGATAGGAAATTAACAATGGTTGTTGTATTACATATTGGTATTTTCAAAGTGGTTACTCAGATAAACAAATATAAGCATGTAAGATTGATCAAACAATTAAACATTAACTGTTCCTTTCAATAACACAATATAAATTAGTAGTACAATTTTCTTAGCTATCGTGTGTATGTATGTATGTATATATATATATATATATATATATATATATTCAGATTTTTCCCTTCTTTCTTTTCTCTTTTCCCTCATCCCAGTCTGTTTGTTTTTTATGCCATGCATTTCTTCTCTCAGGCACTCATTCACTCATCCATTCATTCACTGATTACTGAACACCTCCCAGGGGTCAGCATCTGATAGGCACCAAAGTGAAAAGGGGAATTGGACATGATTTCCAGCTTGGAGGAGCTCCTAGTCTAGTGAGGAAGCCAGTAAGGGGAAACATAATTGCTACAACAGAGAGTGAGGAGAGCTGCTGGGTTTCCTCCAGATATTCTGATTTCCAATCTGGCTTGTAGTCCTCAACATTTTGTACACCATCATCATGCTTTGCCTCCCTCTCTCTCTCCCTCCCTTCCCTTTTTCCCTTTCTTTTTTAAAAAAGGAAATGTATCCAATACATGTGCAGTCTTGGTAATATGGGAGTGGCATTGCCCAGGATAGGCAAGGCTATGCTGTGGCAATGCACATTCCTGACCTCTAGGGCACAAGTCTGGGGGTTGCTGTCTCCATATGGATACGTACAGCCGAGGGGAACATTCAACAGAAGAAACCACTGAGCTATCTGGGTGGCTTGAGGAGGAATTCACTATGTAGTCTGATGAGGGGGCAGTGAGGACATCATTTATTTGAAAAATATCTGTTTGGGGCTGGGGATTTAGCTCAGCGGCACA